TTATTATTATTATTATTATTATTAAGCTGCTGCTGCTGCTGCTTTCTCAGAGGAGGCTGTCCAGAAAGCAGCGAGGTTGAGATCTTGGGAGCTGGCTCTGTTGGGATCCGGCAAGGCCCGCGTTGCAGTGGGGCCCTGCCTGCCTGCCTGCCTGCCTCCTGGGAGCTGAGAGCAGAGCCCCTTGGGAGTCAGGCAGGGGCTGTTCTGGGCCTGGTTTAAAGCTGGAGAATGCTGTGGCCCCCAGGGAATCGGGAGCCTCCACTGGTTCTGCCAGGGAAGAGAGAAAAGGTGCCTTTCGTTATTTCACCAGGCAGCTGGGCGCTCCTGTTTGTGGAAAAATAGCCGGAGAAGGCACAAAAATGGCAAAGGGCCTTGAATGCCTGTGAGTCACAAGTGCCCTTGTCGTTGGCTGCCCTGGGAAGGGCTGTTGGAGATGGTCGGCCACAATATCAGCGGGGGAGGGGGGGCAGTTGCTGACCCTGGCCTGCAAAGATTTCTGTTTTATTTAAAATATTTTCTACCCCACCTTTCTCCTTAAAAGAACCCATTTGTTTCATAGGTTTGTATACGTCCCAGTCAGTGCTGGGCACTGCTCTGGGGGGTTTATATCAAAGGAATACAAAACACAATAACGTAGCCCAAAGACAAAAAAACAAATCCTTAAAATAAAAGCAAATAGTCACATTAATTAAAAGAAAAACCCCAAAATCAATACATCTAAGCAAACCCAGACAATGGCAAGGCGGTGGCATGACTATAGCAACACGTGGAAGGGGATGCCTTTTTCTTCAGGCAGCCTAGTGCGGAAGCTCCTTGTAAAGGCTGTGGGGCCGGGGGTCCAGGCACAGCCCCCCCCCACCGCCCTTCCCCGGGCATGGGTGTCTCGTCACTGCCCCCCCCCCGGCCTCTCTCTTGGTGTGGCCGCCCTTTCAGAAAGAGGAGAGGCAGCAGCTGGGGAGGGACCCACCCCACTGAGGTGAAGAGGGGAGCATGGGGGGGGGGTCAGTCGGGCTTGCGTGTCCTCTTTGCCAAAAGGGCTTTGTGGTGGCAGTCAGCATTGTCCCCCACCCCACCCGCTGGCATCTCTTCCAAGACCTACTGGTGCCCCATGGGGAATCCGGCTTTTTCTGAGAGCTTTCCTGGGGGAATGGGACTGCGGTGGCATCAGGGACTAGGGGAATCCCTCCAGGAGGGAGCTGAAATGGGGGTCGCGGAACTGGCCTCTGATCGCCCAGGTGTGACCAGGGAAGCCACTGAAGTGATGTTTGGCTTGTGGAATGGGGTGGGATGTCCAGGCAGCTGAATGCTGGGAGAGCAGAGGTGCCTGTGGCTGGCACACGGCTGTGCCTGGAAAGCCCTTTTCCGAAGCAGACGGCCAATGGCAGGCCTCGTCCTGCCCTTGTCAGTGTGGTTGCCTGCAGGTGAAGAAGGGGGGGGGGTGTTCCTGTGTGCTCCAGGTACACATCCCTCTTTCTGTTGTGCAGAAAGGCACGCTGCAACTGGAGCCGCTTAGCAAGGCGCACGTGAGGGCGAGGGCGTGTCTTTTGCCCTTGCTGGTGGTGCTCTTTTGCGGGATGCCTCACGTCAGGGCTCCGGCCCCTGGCGATTGGCTCCCTGCTCAGCTACCCTGTTGTCGAAGAGCCTCCTTGTGACAGGGTGGGTGTGCTTGTTTCCCCCTCCCCCACAGGCGAGAGCAGCTCCATTCCCCCTGGGAGTTTCCAGAGTGGGTCCCCTCTGCCCGGCGGTGGGTCTTCCTCTCCGAGAGGTGAGTGACCTTGGGGCAAGGGAGGTGGCGGGGGGAGGGTCCCTGAGCGGGGGGGGAGGGTGATAGCGAGAGGCCAAAGGGTTTGGGGGGGCTGCACCGCGCCTTTCCCAACCACCCCTGGAATCCCTGCCAGGAGAGGCATGGCTGGTGTCCCCGGGCGGGCTGAGAGCAGCCCCCTTCCAGGGAGGGTCGTGTTCTCTGCTGGGCCAGGAGGCTTTGCCAGTGAGGGTCCTCTCTGTTCTCTTTCCTCTTCCAAAGTGAAGCTGCTGACTACCTTCCTGGTGAAACCAAGTCCCCCCTCTTCTCCGTCCGGCGGGAAGGACTGCAGGAGGACAGGGGCATTCTCTATCGCATCAACAGGTAGGTGGGGACACGGGAGAGGAGGGCCTTCTTCCAGACGGTGGAACTCCCTCCCACAGGAAGCCAGGCTGACCTCATCTTGGCTGTCCTTCCGCAGGAGGGGCCAAGACCTTTCTCTTCAGGCAGGCTTTTCCTTAATGACGGGTTGTCTGAGAGGGGTTTTAAATGGACTGTTGTGCTTGGTCTTAGTAACTTTTTAAAATACATTTGTACAATTCTTTTTAAATATTTGTATACTTCTTTAACTTTTAAATACTGTTTTGGAGATGTAAGCCCCCTTAGGTCATTTTGGGGAGAAAGGTGGCATAGAAATATTCGAAAGGAAGGAAGGAAGGAAGGAAGGAAGGAAGGGAGGAAGGGAGGAAGGGAGGGAGGGTAGGTGGGTATGTTGAGACTCCCACCTGAGGGGCTGGTGGCCTTTATGAGTTGCCGTGGAAGCAGGAAAGCTTTAAAAGGTGTCGTTTTGAAACGGGTGGGGAGAGTAAAAGGTCTTTGGAGGTCTTAGCCAGTAAGAGCAAGTGGGGCGGGATGTGGGTCGCCTGCCGGAGTGGGCCTCTCGGTGGCAGCGGGTGGGGCGTGCAGGGGAGGCAGAAGGCCCAGCTTGAGTCTTGTTTGGGCTGCTTTCCTCTGACCACAACCAGCCGGAAATGTGCTTCAGGCCGGCCCCGGCCCCGTCTGCCCAAAGGTCCTGCTTCCGGGGGTGGGTCTGGAGGGGCTTCTGAGCAGGAACCCTCCATTACGCTGTTGCCCTGATTGATGGCCCCCACCTTCTTTCTCCCTCCCTCCCTCCCTTTCTTTCTTTTTTCCTTTCTTTCTTTCCTGGCCTGACAGGTTTAATGCCTTGCAGCCCCACGAGGAGCGCCTAGACATGACCTTCTTTGTGGGGGGCCCCGTCTGGGCCCTGGAGTGGTGCCCAACCCCGGAAGGGTCGGGGGCCTCCCAGTGCATTGCCCTCTACTGCACCCCCGGCATGGACGACCGGCACTCCGTGTCAGGGACCCACTCGGGACCAGCTCTGCTCCAGCTGTGGGACGTTGGCCCCATCCAGCAGGACGAGGGGTGAGGGCGGCCCCCCGAAGAGGGAGAGCACCCGCCAGACCCCCTCCTGTTGAATCAGCTGCTTGCCGTGTGCTCGTCCGGTGGCTCGGGAGCCTCCGGCCTGGGCTCTTTCCCACGGGGGAGCTGCAGCTGAGCTGTGTGGCCCCTCTTCTGCCTTGCGGGTGGAGTCAAGCTGGCCCGTGCGCACGCCAGGGCAGGTGCTCCTTCTGCCCAGTGAGGTGGTGCAAGAGCGCTGGAAGGTGGAGCAAGAACTGGCGGGCAAGGCGTGGACTCCCTATTTCTGCAAGGAAAACCAGCTCCCTGCCCGTGTCCTTTCTCCCTTGGGGCTGGGCATGGGGCCGAGGCCGCCCCCCGATGCCCTCCTTTTGCCGTCTTTCTGCAGGTCAGCCACCAAGCCCGGACTGGCCTACGGCATTGCCACCAACCACGGCTGCATCTGGGACATGAAGTTCTGCCCCAGCGGGGGCTGGGAACCCCCGGCCACAGGCCGCAAGGTCAGAGCTCGAAGCGGCCCCCAGGGACCTGTGGCTGGGCGGAGCCCTGTGGGCAGCTCACAGCCCCTGGCGCCATCAGAGGGGGAGGTAGCAGGATGTGGGTCCCGCCCCCCCCCATGTGTCGCCACTGTGCATCTCCTTTTTGTTCCTCCTCTAGTCCCCTCAGATGAGCCGCCTGGGCCTGCTGGCTGTGGCTTTCTCTGACGGCCAGGTGCTGATCTACAGCCTTCCTCACGCAGAGGCCGTGCGTGCCCACTGGAGAGCCCAGGTAACAGGTAGGAAGAGCTGTTGAGGAATCCATGGAGAGGGCCCGGGCAGATAGGCCTGGCTGAGGCCCCCCATCCCGTCCCATCCCTCCCCCAGGGCAGCTTTGGGGCCAGAGCAGGGTCGGCTCCGCTGACAGAGCATGACCACCTGCGGCGGCTCTCCTGGGCTTCAGGCGGGAGGAATCCTTCCCTGTCCGACCTGGACTGTTCAGGCAAGTGGCCTCCCTTCTCAGGGAGAACCAGGCCCAGGACGTCCCATCATCAGAGCAGACCAGATCTCATTCGGGGGCCAATGGAGCAAACAAGGAGATCCCTCAGATCCTGCTGCTCCTCTGGTTGGCTTGGCCCTCTCTGTGTAGGGAAGCGGAGAGGGAAGCAAGGCTCCCTCCCAGTGGGGAGCTGGCCTCCCTTGCAAGGAAGGGGGCACAGAAAGGGTTAAGCAGCCACCCTCGGCTGCTTGGAGGGGGGGGGCATCCGCACCTGCTGGCCATCCACCCGCTCTGGCTCTTCGGGAAAGAGTCCTGGAAAGGGTGCCTGGAGCTGCTGCCTTCCTGGTGCGCCCCGTGTTTCTTCTGCTCCCCTCGTGGCAGGCACCGTTCACCTTCACCTGACAGACGGGTGTGTGTGTGTGCGTGTGCGTGTGCTCCTTGACCGGTTCAACAACAAAAGGAGGCGCTCCCAACACTGGGAGAAAGGGAGGCACCCCCCGCCCCTCTGTCAGAGGAAGGTTCCCTTGGCCTCTTGCGCTGAGATGGATGGCCTCAGGGGGCCCCCTTCCAGTCCTGTGCTGGCAACCGGAACCCATGTGACCTCGGGCGGAGGGGGGGGTCGTGGTGAGCGCTGCCAGCACTGGAGTCAGTGAAGAGCCCATGGGACCGCCGTCAGCCAGGTTCCTGCATGGAGAGCAGAGGATCGGGCCCTTCCGACTCCTCCCCAGTTCTGTCCTGAGCGGGACACGGCCTGCCCTCCTCCCTCCCACAGAGCCTGGGGGGGGGGAGAGAGTGTTTCCCCCTTCCTCTCTCTCGGGGCTCCCAGCTCCTGCAGAGGCAGCCCCCGCCGCCTCCTCCTCTTTGTTTCCCCAAAGTCAGCCCCCCCCCTTGAGCGGAGATCGAAGCCAGAGCCCCGCTGCCTCCTCCTCGCTGAGACTGCAGCGGTGAGGAAGCTCTGCCCTCCCCACCCCCACCCTCCCTACATCAGGCACCGTGTGGGATCAGGCAAGGTGTCCAATTCATTCTGTGTGCTCGGCCAGCCGTGTCAGCTAATGGTGCTTGTAATTGGATCTGTCTGAGAGTGATTGATGATGATGGTGGTGATGGGACAGGGAGGGAACACCGGCTGGACCTGTGATGGCATCGGTGAGC